CTACAAAGGCTAGAACACTCCAGGGGATGAATTCTTCAAATAGGAGCCGATGGATCTATGGTCCTTTGGGACTCATCAAAGCCTTGGTTTAGCATTTTGTCAGTTTTATTTTCAGAAATTCTCTGTGATTAAGAAGATAATTTATTAAAGATGGTCCTTTCTACCTCTGTGGTGTGTGTCGCGCACACAGCTTAGAAGTGCTACAAAAAAGGAAAGAACTCCAAATTGAATCACCTTTATAATTTACCCATTTCTCTACAACAGGCAGTGGGAGCAGTTTCAGAGAACTTTTTGCATGCTTATGGTTGATCAGTTAAAAAAGAATGTTATAGTAACAAATAAAGTGCAGTTTAAAACCCAACTCTTATTCTTAATTTGTTCCTAATATGTATTTTTGGCAGGGAAAGGGAGCGGTCCATGAAATCTTTATGTGATGTGAGGATTTTAAGTTTGGGCCAGTGAACGGGGTAAATAAAATTTAACTTTTAGGCATATGGAATTTTGATTGCCGTTAAAGTTACTATTCTCTGTCATTCAGCAAGAAAACGTAGATCTGTACTCACCTCACTGTTCAATCATTGAGTGGTAAAGGACAGAAGTATTTTCTAGTTCTGGTCAGATGATGTAATTTTTTTTTTTTTTTTTTTGAGGTGGAGTCTTGCTCTGCCACCCAGGCTGGAGTACAGTGGCATGATGTCAGCTCACTGCAACCTCCGCCTCCCAGGTTCAAGCGATTCTTCTGCCTCAGCCTCCCGAGTAGCTGGGATTATAGGCATGTGCCACTACACCTGGCTAATTTTTGTGTTTTTAGTAGAGACAGGTTTCCCCATGTTGACCAGGCTGGTCTCGAACTCCTGAGCTCAGGTGATCCGCCCACCTTGGCTCGCAAAGTGCTGGGATTACAGGTGTGGGTCACTGCGCCCAGCCCAGATGATATAATTTAACTGTGTTTTAGGTAACATGTTAATAAGGGAAAATGTTTACCAGTGTAGCATTGGGTCAAAAAGTTTATTTTATCACACAGTGTTTTAATAAATGGTTTATTCTGCTTACCTTATTTGAATTGTCATTATAATTTTATGTGCAACCTTAAACTTAATAAACTAATTTGTCAAGTAAATACTTTCATTTAATTTGAAAAATTTCATATTCATTTGCTTTTTCATTTGGTAATAATGAAATTTAAGGTTTATTACCTGGAAACAGTACAAGAAAATACTAAACTTTATCAAACTGTTTCACACTAAGGGGAGGTTATTTGTAACAAATAACGGACCACAAGTTCATTTTGGATTCTTCTGTGATAGAGTCTACTGATATGAATTTAAGAAAAAACCTTAGAATCTTAACTTTTCACATCTGCAGATTCAGTTTGCCATTCTGAATTTTTAAATCTAAGGGATGTGGATAAATCTAAGGGAATGTTTAAAAACGTAACAATTAGAATAAAAAATTAAAATTATGCTTTTGTATGGGTTACTTTTTATGAATCACATTTTTCTGGAAATTTTTGCTTTATATTTTTTCACAGTTGTCTCTCTAGCTACTGAAAAAATTATACAAATATCTTTGGCCATTTGAATTTATCGTTGTGCAGTAAACTGTTTTAGTAACTTTGTTTGACCTTTTTAGAAGGTTGCATCCTTAAAATGTGAACCAGATACACGGCTTTGCATTGAAGAGGAAAGCAGTAGAATGTCAGGTTACTTTAGGCAGTGTGACAGTATGTAAATGAAATGTGGAGGATGGCGCTAACAATTTGATTTTCCACACAGCAAAACCACAGTCCCGCCACCTAACAAAGCCCTGTTTATGCTACACACCAGCATCTGAGGGAAGAGAAGGCGCTGTGACAAAGCAGCGTTGATGCTGCCCAGCCTGCCATGATCATAGCTCATCTGCACAGCCGTCCGAAAGTTTAATACATACTCATCAGAAGGAATGCTGGGACAATTTTGGGTTCCAACACAAAAGTTAAGCATCGAACAGGTTTTTCTTTCCATTTGATTAAATGATGCTGATTTTATTTTACTCTTGCATTAGAAACAAACATTAGTTATCTGTCGCTATTTAATTTTCCGCCTATGCAAATTGTGTTATTACAGCTGACCGCTATCAGTAAATCTTAACTCTGTCAGTCCCATTGCTTCCTTTTTTATAAAAGTACTGTATCCCCCTTTACTGTCATGCAGTGAAATTCATAAATATATTTCCTACACATATAATTTAAATGTATATAATTGTTATATGACAGAACTAAAAAGAACTTATAATTCAGTTGTATTTCAGTATAGAAATGCTTGGACATGGCTGGACACGATGGCTCACGCTGTAATCCAGGCACTTTGGGAGGCCAGGGCGGGCGGATCAACTGAGGTCAGGCGTTCGAGACCAGCCTAGCCAAGATGGTGAAACCCTGTCTCTAATAAAAATTGGCCGGGCGTGGTGGCAAGTGCCTGTAATCCCAGCTACTCGGGAGGCTGAAGCAGTAGAATCTCTTGAACCCAGGAGGCAGAGATTGCAGTGAGCCAAGATCGTACCACTGCAGTCCAGCCTGGGCAGCGAGCAAAACTCTGTCTCAAAAAAAAAAAAAAAAAGAAATATGAAAGTAACTGTAAGAAAAAGCACTTTGCTGCTTTTTAAGTTATTGCCATGGAGCCAGTCACGGTGGTGCATACCTGTAGTCTCAGCTACTTGGAAGGATGAGGCGGGAGGATTCCTTGAGCCTGGAAGTTTGAGACTGCAGTATACCATGATCATACCTGTAAATAGCCACCACACTCCAACCTGGGCAACATGGCAAGACCCTGTCTCCAAATAAATAAATAAATAAATAAATATTAAGTTTTTGCCACAGGGTAGTTTGGAGTAATGAATGTTTTGTGCTCTGCAATGAAAAGGAGAAAATTTAAGTGTTTAGTAAACCCTTGTTTGTATTTATTTTTTTGAGATGGAGTTACACTCTTGTTGCCCAGGCTGAAATGCAATGGCGCAATCTTGGCTCACCGCAGCCGCCACCTCCTGGGTTCAAGTGATTCTTCTGCCTCAGCCTCCCCAGTAGCTGTGATTTATACAGGCATGCGCCACCATGCCCAGCTAATTTTTTGTATTTAGTAGAGACAGGGTTTCACCATATTGGTCAGGGTAGTCTAGAACTCCTGACCTCAGGTAATCCACCCGCCTCAGCCTCCCAAAGTGCTAGAATTACAGGCATGAGCCATCACGCTGGGCCCAGCCCTTGTTTTTTAAAAAAATATTTAAAGAATAAAATGTTACTGATTTGGCTATAAGGAAAATTAAAGTACAAATATATTTTAAATTTTAATCTATTTTGTATTGAACGTTTGAATAGTATAACAAAATACTGAAAAATGTTTGCATGTAAGTTCCTATTTTCCATCTTTAAGTCATTCCATTTCTGCCATCATTAGGTTTTGTTCAGCAAAATATGTCTTACAGGAAAAGTATTTTCTTTGCATTTTAATACTCTCACTTAGTGGCAGTACAGCTAGGATAACTGGATTTGAATCCTAGCTCCACCATTTATTTGTATGATTTTAAGCAAGTTACTTCACCTCTCCATACCTCAATTTCTTCATATGCAAAGTAGGTAATAATAATAATAACATAACAATACTTGGCCGGGCATGGTGACTCATGCCTATAATCCCAGCACTTTGGGAGGCCAAAGCAGGAGGATTGCTTGAGCCCAGGAGTTTGAGACCAGCCTGAGCAACATAGTGAGACTTCATCTCTACAGAAAATAAAAACAAAATTAGTAGACGTGGTGGTGTGCACCTGTAATTCTAGCCACTCAGAAGGCTGAGGAGGGAAGATTGCTTAAGCCCAGGAGGTCAAGGCTGCAGTGAGCCATGATCCTGCCACTGTATTCCATCCTGGGCAACAGAGCAAGACCCTGTTTCAAATAATAATAATACTTACCTCTTTAGTTTTTTTTGAGGATTGAGGACTAACTATATAAATTTAGCACAGTATCTAGCACATTGTTAAGTGCAACTGTTAGTTACTGTTTCATTTTAGTCATTAGAAGCACTTTTAGTAGAAGTATTACTTTAAAAATATGTTTTCAGTTATGAAATAAAACACTCCTAACTATTCTCAATAAAAATTTTATAAGAAAAAGTTAATTGTGGCCGGCCGCGGTGGCTCACGCCTGTAATCCAGACTTGGAGGGAACGGCGGATCACGAGGTCAGGAGATCGAGACCATCCTGGCTAACGTGAAACCCCTATAAAAAATACAAAAACTAGCCGGGCGAGGTGGCGGGCCTATAGTCCAGCTACTCGGGAGGCTGAGGCAGGAGAATGGCGTGAACCCGGAGGCAGAGCTGCAGTGAGCTGAGATCCGGCCACTGCACTCCAGCCTGGGTGACAGAGCGAGACTCCGTCTCAAAAAAAAAAAAAAAAAAGTTAATTGTGAACATGATTAGATTACTTGTAGCACTGTGAGTTTTTGTGAATAATGGTAGTAAGGCCTCAATAACTTGCCTGTTATGTTTTTCTAATCAGTCAACATGATTTTCAGATTTTATTTTGACATTTTTATGTTATATTTCTTATGACAGGGTCTCTGTCTCCAAGGTTGGGGTGCATTGGCATGATCATAGCTCACTGCAGCCTCAACTTCCCAGGCTCAAGCAATCCTCCCACCTCAGCCTCCCAAGTAGCTGGCACCACAGTTGCACACTACTACACCCAGCTAATTTTTTATTTTTTTGTACAGATGGGGTTTCCCTGTGTTGCCCAGGCTGGAGTTGAACTCCTGAGTTCTCAAGCGATTTTCCCACCTTGGCCTTCTGAAGTGCTGGGATTACAGACATGAGCCACCATACCCAGCCAAGATTTTATATTAAGAAAAGGTTTTGGTGAGGTCTCATTTTAATTTTAGGTTTTCCATCTTGGTAGAAATATCTTGCAGTGAGCTGAGATCGTGCCACTGTACTCTAGCCTGGGTGACAGAGTGAGATTCCATCTAAAAAAAAAAAAAAAAAGAAATATGAATATAAAAATAAATTTTTTGCATAGTTGATTTTGGGAATCTTCATATGCTTAGAAAATTAAGCTTTTTCTATTAGGTTGGTGCAAAAGTAATTGTGGTTTTTTTGCCATTAAAAGTAATGGTATAAACCATTACTTCTATTAATACAACCATCAATTTTCATTTTCATAGCCTTTCAGAGTGGGAGTAAGCTTTGCAATCAACCTGCTGCTTTCTCTTAGCTGTACGCTTGATAAATCTGAGTCAGTGGTTGGAATGGAATCTGCTTTTCCTGTGTTGGTTACAAGCAAGCACTTTCCCTGGGTGAGTGTAGCTGCAGTATAACATAGAATTAAGACTACAGTTTCAGAATCAGCCCCGCTTGAAATGTTGGCTCTATCATTTACTAGCTGTGTGATCTTGCACAAAATCCTTAACTTCTCTGTGCCTGTTTCCTCAACTAAAATGGGATAACATTGTTATCTACCTCATGGAGTTGTTATGAAGATTAAATAATTGCATTTTAGCTGCAAGAACAGTACTTGAAACAGTAAGCACTCAACAAATGTCAGCCATTGTTATATAGATCACTACTGATGCTGGTAACCTCTTTGCCTTAATTATAGAATTGCCTTTAAGAAAGGAATATTGTTTGCAGAGATACTTCTTCTAAGAATTATGATGTTTGTGTGCAGCTACAACCTGTAAAACAATTGCCAACATGAGTTTTCAGGAGAGTGGTTTATAACCTTTTTTTTTTTTTAACTATCCCAACACATTCCTGTCAGCAACAATGGGTTCTCCCACAGTGGTTCCCAAAGAAGTGTGTGTGTACCAAGCAGGGCAAGGAATAGAGTTAGAAAAAACTGCTCAAGCAGAGTGCAGTGGCACACACCTGCAGTCTCAGCCATTTGGGAGGCTGAGGCAGGAGGATTGCTTGAGGCCAGGAGTTTAAGGCTCTAGTGTGTGATGGTCATGCCTGTGAATAGCTACTGCACTCCAGGCTGGGCAACACAGCGAGACTCCATCTCAAAACAAAACAAAAAGAAAAACAAAAAAACTGCCCAGGTGAAAATCTCGCTAAAAAACTCTTTAAACTATTTCAGCACAGGTGAAATGTTCTATGCCATTTGCATTTTATCCTAGCCTTTAAGGAGATGCCTACCAACTATGTAAATTTATTGGGACTTAAACTCATTTATTTAAGTCATTCTTATACCTTCATTGTAAATTAACCTCTGCCATACTAACTCTAGCTCTGCTTTTTCTACTTTTACAAAAATTATACATTTTTAATATTATATCTTTATAATAAAAGTTTATTGCATGCCTGCTATATATGGGGCTTCACCATAATGACAAAGAATTTTAATAAAAATAAGTCTTCTCTCTTCAGAGACTGCAGGGTCTGTTAGGGAATGTTAGCTTTACAACAGAATTGTAAAGTATAAAGTGTTGAACCTTCTAAGAGAAGTAGAAGCAAGAAACCATATTCTACTACAGCATTACACCATATGTGACTACAAGAACCATTTCTTGTGTGGATTATAAAAACCCATTTCTATTGTATTTAACATGTGGTAAGTGGTATGTGTGGGGTATGGGGGTCTGCCCACTGACAAAAAGACCCTATTAAGGAAGAAAATAACATAATCATTTCTTTATGTGTATAGATCTGTGTTGTCTAATAGTATAGCTACTAGCCACATGTAACTGTGTAAAATTTAATTAATTACAATGAAATTAAAAATTCAGTCCCATGGTTACACTAGCCACATTTCAAGGGCTCAAGTGGTCGTATATGGATAGTAGCTTCCATATTGGATATTACAGAACAGAATATTCCCTTCAGTGAAGAAAATTCTATTGGACAGCACAATGTAGATGATCCATTCTGTTTTATCAGAATTTCAGAATCATGGACACCTCAGTGATATATCAAAATCTGTTTTAAGTAACCTGCATATCTTCAAAAGATTATCTTGAAACTAGGATATTGAACATGAACCTTACTTTACTAATTACATCTTATCCTTAACAAAAGGAAAGAAGTATATGTTTTTAAATCTTTAGCTGCCAAATTCACTGGACCTGGAGAAAAAAAAATACAAAGGTTCCAAATTATATGAAAAACCTCAGTGTTTACTATAAAAAGGGATTATTGACATAGTTTCCCATTCTTTAGGTTTTGTAAGAATTTCTTAAGTTTGCAAAATGACAATATTTTAAGCTATAAATTCATGTAGCTGCTTCTGTGTCTTTAATAGATGGATAGCATTGGTTCTCAGCCAGGGGTGATTTTACCTCACAGAGGACATGTGGCGATGTCTGGAGACATTTGTGGATGTCCACAACGGAGTGGAGGTGCTACCAGCATTTAGTGGGTAGAGGCCAGGGATGCTGCTAATCGTCCACAAGGCATAGGACAACCCCACAGCAAAGAACTGTCAGGCCCCAAAATGTCATCAGCAGTGAGGTTGAGAAACCCTGATTAATAACTTCAATACATTTTGATCATATTTTTGGGAAGTGAGAATTCCCTACCAGAAATTTGCTAAAATATGGCCAGTGATGATAATCAAACTTGTATAGCCTTTATTATGCATCAAATTCTTTTCTAAGAGCTTTACATGTATTAACTCACTTAATCCTTGCAAAAACCCTTTCCATTATTATCAACTCTTTCTACAGCTAAGGCAATGTAGGCACCGAGAGGTTACATAACCTGCTGCTATGGACTGAATTGTGTCTTCCCAAAATTCAGATGTCGAAGTCCTAACCCCCAATGTGATGATATTTTGAGGCAGTTGGTGGCTTTATAAGAAGAGGATGAGAGGGATATCTCTCTTTTCATTAACATACCCAAGAAAACTATGTAGGGACACAATGAGAAGGCAGCTCCAGGAGAGAGCACTCCCCAGCCATCAGCCCTGCTGGCACCTTGATGTTAGACTTGCCAGCCTCCCAAATTGTGAGAAAATAAATTTCTGTTGTTTCAGCCACAAAACCCAGCCCATGACATTTTGTTTGGCATCCCGAGCTGACTAACAACCTGCCTAAGATGACACTGGCGGAAGGAAAATGGTCCGAATGCAGGCAGTCTGGCTCTGGAATCAACATTCTTCACCACTTGCTTAACCCTGTCTCAGTAGAATACCTTCTCTGAATGTATTTTCCTCCAAAATTGCTTTTTTAAAGTTTGTTCACATATTTCAGTTTTTAGTTCTGTAGAGCTACAAACAAACTTCATTTATAGAGAGATTTTAGAGCCGTATATTCTGTTTTCAACTATTGGCCCAACCATTTCGTGGCGTTGTATACAATTTTATTGTTTTAGTACAGTGGTTCCCCAACTTTTTTGGCACCAGGGACAGATTTCATGGAAGACAATTTTTCCATGGTGGGATGGAAGATGGTTTTGGGATGAAACTGTTCCACCTCAGATCCTCAGGCATTAGTTAGATTCTCATAAAGAGCACCCAACCTAGATCCCTCACATGCACAGTTCACAATAGGGTTGGTGCTCCTATGATAATCTAATGCTGCCGCTGACCCGACAGGAGGCGGAACTCAGGCAGTACTGCTCGCTGGCTGCTCCCCACCTGCTGTGCAGCCTAGTTCCTAACAGGCCGGGGACTGGTACTGGTCCATGGCCCAGGCATTGGGGACCCCTGTTTTATTATACTGCTGTGATTTCTGATCTAAATGCAAATGTTCGTATGCTAAAAAGGGAATTTATGTTTGTTTTAAAACACTAAGAGCGTATGAAGATATCATTGGTAAAAAATAGCATATTAAAATAATTGGTACAGTTTTCATAAATGCTAAAACAATATTGGAGCAGGTTATTACTAACATTTATTAATAGTTTCAAATTTGGTTCCAAGAGCAGATAATGGGGTGAAAGTGTTAAGCCCTTCTGCTCATGCAGAAGTATAATGAGGTCTTAATACTGGGGGTTCCTTGAAAAATCAATTATGTCTTTGATAAAATCAGGTTTAATAAAGAGATAATGGTGCATAATATAAGCAGTTAATTTTGTGTTTGGTATGGTATCTTCTTTCAAACACTAGTGAATCAGCTGGCAATACACTTGGCAACAAATACCAGAAAACCTCTGCTGCTTAAACAGATAGGGGTGTTATTGTCTCACACAGTAAGAAGTCCAGGGGTAGGAAGTCCAGGGCTGGTACAGCAGATCAGTAGTGCCATCGGAAACCAGGCTTTCTGCTGTCTGCTCTTGACCATGTCAGAGTGATGGCTTATTCTCCTGCCCTGTCTTTCATGTTCCCAAGATGAATGCTGTACTTTCAGACAGGCCTCATATTTATGTTCTTGAGAAAAATGCTTTTTTTTTTTTTTAGCGAGACATTGACTTGTACTCGGTAAAGGGCTCCTCTCACCAGTGTCTTTTGTTTTTTGTTTTCTGTTTTTTGTTTTTGAGACAGGGTCTCATTTTGTCACCCAGGCAGGAGTGCAGTGGTGCGATCCCTGCTCACTGCAACCTCCACCTCTACCTCCTGGGTTCAAGTGATTCTTGTGCCTCAGCCTCCTGAGTAATTGGGATTACAGGCGCATGCCTCCCCAGTGTCTTTAGTCTGTAGCTCACTGGCCAGAATTACGTCACATGGGAAAAATCAGAGATGAAGCTTTTGGTTTTCCAGCTTTCACAGTAAAGGAAGAAAAGGAAAAGAATAATTGGGAATGGATGTTGAATGACTCAACCTATATTATCAGCCACAATTGATATTAACAATTAACAATTCCTGATACTTGGGTAGTTGCTGCTGCATATACTTTCTTTTCAGAGCCTCTTAGAATTGGAATCTTAGAGATTATTTTATCTCTGATATGACATCTTTGTGTTTATATTTTTGAATATGCCAACTTGTAAAGCAAAGTGTTTTTTTGATGGGCTTTTTAATGGACACATGTCCATTATGACACAAATTTGGACATCCTTAAATAAAATTATACATCTCAAAATATACATATGGAAAAAATCTGATGTTACATAAGCTGTAACACCACTTTCAGGTATTTTCCAAACTTGAATTTTATGCTGAGGTTCTAGAGAGTACCTGTTCTCTGTATTTTGAAACTGAATTGAAATAGCATGTGGAGGCTTTTACAAATAAAATGGTTGCTTCTATATTTGTCCTGTCAAATTTAAACTGTTTGGAAAGCTCTAAATTCAATGTTCTTAGCCAGGTGTGGTGGCTTACACCTACAATCCTAGCTACTCAGGAGGCTCTGGTGCAAGGATCACTTGAGGCCAGGAGTTTGAGACAAGCCTGGGCAACACAGGGAGACCTTGTCCCCATCTCTAAAAATGAATTAATGAACGAATGAATAAATCTAATGCTCTTACCCAGCAATTTTATTTCTACCACTGCTGCCTCAATGTCTCTACAACATTTAGCTTCTCTATTAAAGAATGTAGTCAGTCAACAGAATACTGCCTGAGAGGGTCATATCCTCAATAAGATTTATTAAAGAGCTGGATATTGGGCAAAAAAATTGAAAAGATGTTTCACAGAAGAAGAAGTCTAAATAGGTAGTTGGCACATGAAAATGTGCCCATTATGCCTCATCAGAAAATCAAAATCACAGTGAAACACCACTATATACCAACCTAGAATAGCTCAAATTAAGAAGACTGATAACACTAAGTCTTGGTGAAGATGTAGAGGAATCAGAACTCTTTCATTCATTGCTGGCAGGAATGAAATATGGAATAGCTGCTTTGGAAAACAGGCAGTTATTTTTTAAAGTTAAATATATACTTACCCTATGATCTCTTCTATGCTATCATCTATTCTTAGGTATTTGCTCAAGAAAAAAGAAAATATACATCCACAAAAAGACTTACAAAACAATCTTCAAAGCTGCTTTTTAAAATCTTCATATTTATAATAATAGCCCCAACCTGGAAACAACCCAAATGTTCATCAACAGAATAATGATATATTCATAGAATGGAACACTACTCAGCAGTTTAAAAAAAAAAAAAAAAAAAAGGTGGCAAGCACAGTGGCTGACACCTGCAATCCCAAGCTCTTTGGGAGGCTGAGGTGGGCAGATCACTTGAGGTCAGGAGTTCAAGACCAGCCCGGTTAACATGATAAAACCTCGTCTGTACTAAAAATACAAAAATTAGCCAGGTGTGGTGGTGCATGCCTGTGATCCCAGCTACTCAGGAGGCTGAAGCAAGAGAATTGCTTGAACCCAGGAGGTGGAGGTTGCAGTGAGCCGAGATCATGCTACTGCACTCCAGCCTGGGTGATAGAGTAAGACTCCATCTCAAAAAGAAAACAAAAAGGCGGGGGGCAGTGGGAACAACTGATGCAGACAACAGCATGGCTGAATCTTTATAATCTTTAGATTATGTTGAGCCAAAGAATCCAGGCACAAAAGACTACTTAACTATATGATTCTGCTCTCATGAAGTTTGAGAACAAGTAAAATTAATATATAGGAATCGAAATCAGAATGACTGCCTCTCAGCGAGGGGTATTGACTAGAAAAGGGTGTGGAAAAGCTTTCAGCAGTGAGGGAAATGATCCCTCTCTTGATTTGAGTAATGATTACATGAATGTATACATTTTCAAAACTCGTTAAACTGCACATGGAGGATGTACACATTTTACTCTATGTAAAACTAACCTGAATTTTTTTTAAAAAAGAGATGGCTACTATTATTTAAGACCATAACCAACACCCTTTTACATTTGCTACTAAATGGAAAATATAAGAAAATGCATTAATGGTGCTCCATTTGTCTTATTGTTCAACTCTTCAAGAAATCATTCAAATCAAAATAATTGTGTTCTGGTCCCCTGTGGAGGTAACCTGAGAAAGCTCCTTGGAGTTCATTAGAAGGGCCACACTTTCAAGAAGTTTCTCAAAACGCAGAAGAAATAAGTAATGGAAGAAGTGATTTTTTTTTAAGGGAAAATGTTTTATTAATTCCATCTCTCTTCTAGAATATTTTTCAGAGTTTTAAATGTACAAAATCTTAGAGCTGCCCCCAGTTAAAATATGAAAATTTTAGTGTAGCCTGAAATTCCTCACTGAACTCTGAACTCTCACTTTTCTGACAGCACACTTAGATCTTCTTAAGGATAAAAAAATATGGGCTTGGATTCTTCCCATACCTCATGCTTCAAATAGCCTTTGATGACCCTGAGGCCATAGTGCCGTGTTTCTGTCAAACAACAGCCCAGAACTGAAGCTTTGTGAGTGCATAAGTCACTCTAATAAAGCATAGGGGCTCTGGAGTCCTCCCAACTTCACCATTCCCTGCTGTTAGGTCCTTAAGGTGAATGCAAAGTGAAAGGAGCAACTTTCAAAGTTCTTGCTGTAGTCTCCACCCTTAGCTCTCAAACTAACCCAGCAAAGTCCAGGGGGCCTCAGATCAGCCCAACCCTCTGCCAGCTCCGCCTTCACAGATTAGGGGCCGGGGACTCAGTGCTGTGCCTAAGACCTCCTTCAACTCAGCAGTAGCCCAGTGGAAGCTGCAGGATCCCAGATCCGGATCCACTGTGCATGGCAAGGCCAGCACCCCTCCCTGCCTCCAACACTGTCCACCACCATCTGCTTTGAGTTCAGCAACCTCATCTGCCCTTTATCCTAGTTAGGTACGTTTTCCAGCTCACCTCACATTCTCCTAACTCTAATTCCAAGTAGTTCTTTACATTCACTTTTATTCCTCCAACTCCCACCCCTTCCTGACTTCTGAAACTGGTCCTCTGTGCCCTCCAATATTTACACCAACAAAATTTCCTCCATTCTCTTCCTTTCCCTACAAATTCCCTGCATTTTGTTTTCCCTGAAACCTGGTTCTTCTCCGAGGACACTGTTTCTTTTGCAACACTTCTGCTCTCCTCATCCAACTGGACCTGGCAACATGCAAGACGTCTTCATTTCTCTTCATTGCTGCTCTCTCTCCTTCCCTAAAAACACCCAGCTTTGAATCTCATGTCACTGGACTCCAGCAGTCACTGTGTCTTCTTGCAGCCCCACAAATCACTCCCTGAGTTGCTAGCTCTTAGCTCTCCATCACTACTCTTGATAATTCTTGGTGATTTCAATACCCACACGGCTGATGCTTCTCATACCCTGGCCTCTCCATCCCCTGATCTCTTCTCCTCCAGTGATGTGCTCTCCATCCCTGCCTTGACTCACGCCAGTGGTCACACCCTTAAGCAAGACTCCTCAAGGGTAGCTTGCACTAGCTGCCTCCAATTCATTGATTCTCTGTTGAACTGACTCTCATAAGGTTTTCATCCCACCACTTCCTAGAAACTGCTCTTGTCAAGCATCCTAGTGACCTCCAAGTTATTACATTCACTGACTAATTCTCAGTCCTTATCCCACTGACCTCTCAGCAGCATTTGCCATAGTTGATCACTGTTTCCTCCTTGCCACTCTTTCTTCCCTTGACATCCAGGATCCACATTCTGTCTCTCCTAATACCCCACTGCCCTCACCTCCTCAAACTCTAGGGCTTGGTCCTTAGACTTCTCTGCCCTCACCCCAGAGTGATCACACCCAGTCCTGTGGCTCCAACGGCCATTTATATCTGGGGTAACTCCCAATGAGTATCTCCAGCCCAGGCCTCTCCCATGGTTCCAGACCCGTAGATGCTGTAGACTACTCAAGATTTCCATTTGGCTGTCTCCCTGGCAGGTCAAATTTAACAGGTACAAGACCGAGCTCTTGATCTTCCCCACACCCTGCTCCTCCAGAGGATTTCCCACCCCGTTTACGAGAAATTCATCCTTCCAGTTACTCAGGCCCAAAACCTTGGAATCACCCTTGCTCCTTTTCTTTCTGTCACATCCACAATCCATCCATAAGCAAACTATCTTCCCCCTCCCCTGATTTCTCACCGGGGTTACTGCAGTAGCCTCCAGACTGGTTTTTCTGTTTTAACCCTTGCCCCCCTCTGTCTGTGATCCTGTTAAAATGTCCATCTGATTGTTGAAAACTTCCAGTGACTTTCCATCACACTCAGAAGGAAAACCTAAGTTC